TGCTTGAGGAATGCTTGAGTCGTTCTTTTCATTCCATTTATATTGTTGGCTGCTCCTTGTAAAAGGCATTAAGTTTGAGTGACTGGCAGGAGTGAGTATTTAGGCGACCATCCTCTAGGATTTTTTGCTCTCTTAGATTGGCTTGGCTTGTCAGCTACCAATCTACACCCTGAGTCCATCCAGGAGCCCTAATGAGGTTAGAATACTATGGTCATGGTGGCAGTTTATTTTTAACAACTGATTTTGGATTGTCTTTGATCTCAGCACTTGTTTGACACCTCAGGTGAACTAGGCTTACGTTCCATTCTTCTAGGGTATAGATAGGTGGCTTCCCCTACATGAAATTTCGTTGTTTTTCGAGGTTTATGTGAAGTTACATGATTGTATTTCATGAGAATTCTCTTTTACTACCACATTCGATCGCCGTCGCTGCATTGCAATTGTATTATTAAGATTTCTGGCGGCTCATAGTGCATCGTCAATGTGTCGGCTTTAATTAAAGGTGCTTTCTAGAACTCTTTTGTGTCTCAATTTCTTGTGAAGCATACATGTGCGCATACATGCACACACTCACTTTTGCGTTCTCCAATTTGGTGACGTGCTGCGACTTGCCCTCACACCGGTTCGTGCTGGAATCATGTAAAATCAAATAACTTCATTAACAGGCTTTCTGATGCATGTCTTTATTCTATCCTCTACCCTCCTCCGTTCATTTTAGGGCCTGTCCCATCTCCACGCCAACCGAGTCATTCACCGGGACATCAAGGGTCAGAATGTCCTCCTTACGGACAACGCAGATGTCAAGTTGGGTGCGTTGCTTCGACTTCATCAGTAAGCATGTGTTAAGGTGACGCCTTTTCACTTTTATTTTCTTTTAGTTGACTTCGGCGTTAGTGCCCAATTAGACCGAACCATTGGAAAGAGGAATACCTTCATTGGGACCCCGTACTGGTAGGCCCTCCTCGTGTATTGCCTGCAAGACTTGGCTAATTTGTGCTCTTTGAAGTAGCTCATTTGAATTCGGCAAGAAAATTAACCAACTTGCATCTAACAATGAAATGGACCCGTGCGATTTAACGGACAACTGAACTGAGGTCCAGCAGCCTTTTATTCTTCACTTTGCAGTATATCATTAATAGTTTCGAAGCTTTTTAGTTGCAACAGCACTATCAGCGTCGCCTTGGTCTGACCGACCGCGTTAGCGTCGCCGTGCTGATAAAAACAGTAGCAGCAACAAATGAGACCTCGGTGTTAGGATTTTCGCCACTAGTACCGTCTTAATTACAACAGTTTAGGTTTCCTCCCCTGGGCCAAGAATACGTAACTGTGAATAAGACGAGGTTGTAGAATAGTGGATTGGATGTTGTGTTACCATTAGTTTTGTTCCACATTCCTTTCACGTGGATGTGAGTTATCATTATTCCTGTGCATCTCTACACCTCGTGGTTAGGATGGCTCCAGAGGTGATAAATTGCGAGCAGGACGCAAGCTGCACCTATGACGCGCGATCTGACATCTGGTCCTTGGGTATCACGGCTCTGGAGATGGCGGAGGGTCGTCCACCTCTCTGTGAGATGCACCCAATGCGTGCTCTCTTCCTCATCATGCGCAACCAACCGCCCCGCCTCAAGACAGGTCTTGGTGCACGTCAGTGGTCTCCTCGTTTCCACGATTTCATCTTCAAAAGCCTCGCCAAGGACTTTCGCAAGAGGCCCACTACTACCGAGCTGTTGAAGCACGATTTTGTCGCCAACCTACCCAATGAGCGACAAGTGCGCATCCACCTCAAGGACTACATCGATCGACACAAGCGTACGCGAAGAAGTACGTTTATTCTTGACTTCGTTTCCATTCCTCTAATAAGCACTTACGAATAGGTTTTAATCCTCGCTATCCAACTCTAGTTCTGTCCCGTTTAGTGTCTCTTTGGGGACTGGCAGGATGTTCTTGTATGGTTGAGTTGATTTATTTACTGCCCTTTTATGCAAAGATATTCTAGTTCCTGCATCTTTTATTCGTCCTTGTTAACCATTCGCTGTTCCATCTACAGCGTCACGTCCTCGTCCATTCGCTTCTCAGTTTGACAGTTTTTTTTCTCTATCAGTTGGTAAGCCTTACCTTTCCACTTGTACAGTATGCTTACTGCCTGGCTCTCTACAACAGAATCTATTGATGCGTGTCTGTTCATAGACTCTCTCTTGACCCATCGATGCGTGTCCATTTGCAAGACTAGTAAATTTGTTTAGAATAGTTCTCCATTACAACAGGCGGACTTGAGAACCTTTCAGAGTCACAAATATGTGGCATCAGTAGAGTCCATACCGAAAGTCTTTTATAGTCTCATACAATCTTGCACATCAGTTTTAGCTACCGCTGTTGCATTGTTGATTAAATATGAGATTGCTTGACTGGATGATATTGTTTGTGAATAATTATCCATTCAAGTAAACGACACTTCAAATCTAGTTGTGGTCCTGTTTGCGAGCTACTGTTCAGGACTTAATTTGCTAGGTTGAGCCGAGCCTTGAGGACAAGGCTACCCTGTCTATGGTCGCAAATTCATGTTTCACGCAATCGATGTGCTGAAAGTCACCACTTTTAAGTCTGTGTTGCATTCAAGGATGAAA